CCATAGGGTCCGCTGAGCACCACCAAGAGTGATTCCTGAGTGCAGAGCCAGGAGTAACCCCTGAGCATTCACCAGGTGTGCCCCCCACCAAAAAAAAAAAAAGAGTCATGTACTCTCCTCTCAGGCCTGTAGGGACCATGTAAGAACCACTGACATGGAAAGAACCACTGGTGGAGGGGTGCAAACGGCAGAGCCAGAAAACCTTTAACTTGCAGGATCCAACTCCAAGGAAGCATAATGACAATGACACCTGCGGATGGCGACAGGCCCCGGATACCGACCCAAAACACTCCAGGAAACTGGATGTTACAAAGCTGGAGAGAGCACGGTCGGGAGGGCGTTTGCCTTGCACACGACTGATCCAGGTTTGATGCCCCAACCACGCATGGTCCCCCAAGCCCACCAGGAGTGATCCCTGAGTACAGAGTCAGGAGTAAGCCGTGAGCATGCCTGAGTGTGCCCCCTCATGCCCCCCCCAAATAAAGAAAGAAAAGAAAGAAAGTGAATTCTGGTGGAAGGCTCTGCAGACAGAACACCCTTGGATTCTCCGGGGAACCTGCTCTAAGACTAGTCACGTGCTGTGAAGGGGCCTCAGGACCCAGCTGAGGCCTGTGAAGAAGGCCCAGGGTCACTCAGAGCAGTGGGACACAGGGAGGACCTGGTGGGGGAACCAGCAATTTCCAAAGGTGCCTGTCACCCTGGTCGGTGCCGTTGGCTCTTTTAAAGGAGGAATTGGAAGGCATCTGCCATGCATGCAGCCAACCCGGGTCCCAAGCCCTGACAGGAATGATCTCTGAGCACAAAGATAGGAGCAAGCCGCAAGCAGTGCCAGGTGTGGCCCCCAAACAAGCAAATTGTCACTGTCCTCCCATTGTTCATCGATTTGCTTGAGCAGGCCCAGTAACGTCTCTATCGTGAGACTTGTTGTTACTGTGTTTGGCATATTGAATACGTCTCAGGTAGCTGGCCAGGCTTTGCCGTGAGGGCGAGATAACTCTCGGTAGCTTGCCAGGCTCTCCGAGAGGGGCAGAGGAATCGAACCCGGCTCAACCGGGCTGGCTGCATGCAAGCAAACGCCCTACCACTGTGCTATATCGCTCCAGCAAAACTAATACAATAAAACAAAGCAAAATAATAACCAGTCTTCTTAACAGACAGTCTAAAAGCGTATGGGCCCTGAGTGCAATAAAGTTTATAAAAGCAAATAAGCTAATGAGGGAGCACTAAACACTGAGGACCCGGAGCACATGAAGGTTTATGGCAGTCAGAATCTTAACGCAGAGCCCCCAAAGACCTCAGAGTCCCCGAACAGACAATAAGGAGAGCGGGAAGCAAGCCTTAACGAGACCCCCTTCTCCCAGAAAGAGGCTTGAGGTGATAAGAAGGTGAAGGCAGAGATTTTAACAAGGCTCTAAAAGTGTCTAGGGGAGGCATCCAAGATTCACAAGCACAATAGTCAGCTTCAAGGCCTCCTCGCTAGAATCTCCCAGACCTGGACGAGACTCTCCTAACTGCATCCTTCGGCTGGGGCAGCTCAGCTGGCTCTGATGAGAGAACGAGACACGCCTTCTCGTGCTTCAGATCCTTGAGACCGCACAGGTGTGGCATCCTTTCTGGAAGCTTCCATGACTGTGTGAGCCCTTTAAGCAACACCCCAAGCAGGGCAGAGGGCAGAACCCCTTCTTCCCCAAAGGGGAACAGGCCATCTCGAACAGAGAACGAGAAGCCGTACTCTTTTTTTTTTTCTTTTTTGGGTCACACCCGGCGATGCTCAGGGGTTACTTCTGGCTCTGCACTCAGGAATCACTTCCTGGCAGTGCTTGTGGGGACCATATGGCATGCTGGGAATCGAACCCTGGTTGGCCGCGTGCAAGATAAATGCCCTACCCGCTGTGCTATTGCTCCAGTCCCAGTCTTACTGTTCTGAGGAAAGACCCACTTGTGTCTTTCTTTTGCAAGCACCCTTGCTTGGTTTTGTTTGGGGATCACATGTGATGATGCTCAGGGCCGACTCCTGGCTCTGTGCTCAGGGATCAACTTCTGGTGGGACTCAGGGTGCTGGGAATTGAATCCGGATAGGCTGTGTACAAGGCAAGTTCCTCCTCACCACTGTGCTCGCTCTGGGCCATGCGGGTGTACTTTGCTTTCATGAACTTTCTTTTTTCTGCCTGCAATTGGTCTTTCTTCGGTTCTTCCCGAGTTCAGGGCGCACTGTGGTTTCACAGCCCTGCCCCCACCTGATTGGACCGGCAAGAACAGGGAGAGCCAAGAGAGGAGCGTTTCCATGTCTCTCACAATGCTTCTGGTGGGAGACCGGACCCGGGAAAGCGTCGTGAGGTGAGACACAGCAGCGGGCCAAGCAGACTGCGACCCCAAGGAGGCTCCCGAGAAGCTGAGGCTGGCGGTGCTCCCGGGAGCACTGGTGCTGGGGAGGAGGCTGCGATGAGCATCGGGAAGATAGAAGAGCCACGTGTTCAAGGGGTGCAGAACTGCAGGCAGCTGGGGCCGGGGAGATGGCTCCATGGCACAGTGCTTACCTTGCTTGGGTCAGAACCCTGACACTGCCATTAAAAGGTAAATTCAGAAGCTGGAGTGATAGCACAGCGGGTAAGGTGCTTGCCTTGTACACGGATGACCAGGGTTCAATCTCCTGCATCCCACAGGGTTCTCTGAGCACTTCCCCGTGTGGCCCAAAAGCTATAAATAAGTAAATAAACAAATGAGAAATACTGAAAGACAGCTCCCTGAGCTAAGTGCATGCTTTGTGTACAGAAGGCCTGGACTAGATCCCCGACTCCATATGGTCCCCCCCAAGCATGCCAGAGCCCTGAGTAGCCAAGGCACTAAAGAAGAGAGCTGGGGACAGCAGGCAGGACTCCAGGACGCCCCCTGGCGTGGAGAGAGGGAGATGCAGGAGGGTCTGCAGACTGCAGAAACCGTTGTGGGCATTAACAGCCCAGAAGCCCTGGCCCTCTGCCCCTGTACCCGCTGGCATTCCTGCCCCTCTAAGGCCTGCCAGGGGGAGCCTGGGGATCAACCCCTCCAATCACCAAATATCTCCACCAAACTGCTACAACAGAAGGAGGTATTAGGGTCATGGGTGGCACCCCGCCTGCGTTCAGCCTTGCAGCCCTGGGAGCTGAATTTACACCAAACATCACCGCCCGGGAGGGGCGGAGGAATCGAACCTGGGTCGGCCGTGTGCAAGGCAAACGCCCTACTCACTGTGCTATCGCTCTAGCCAAATAAATAAATAAATAAATAAATAAATATAAGCCTGAAGACCTAACCAGAAACTCCATGAAGACCCAAAGTTGACCCGATGATCAGCTGTTGAGGGACGTCTTAACCCAAGGCTGCTCAGTACTTGGTGCCTGATACAACAAGGAAACATTTGAGTTTTAGAAAAATTCCAATTAATTTTCTTATGTATGTCTCACACATTACAAGCGGGCAGGCCCGCCCACACCTTCACTTCCATTGCAAGGGGCGGGGCAGCTGGAATCCTCACCTTGAGGCCCCTCCCACTCCCCCCCCCCGCCCGACGTTCACTGCAGGGGCGGGGCAATCAGGCACCTCAGTTTGAGGCCCCGCCCACTTCCTCAAGGCTGGGTAGAGGCAGGAGGAGCGAGGCAGCCTGGGACAAGGGCTCCAATTTAGACCAGCTGCCTCCAAAGCTGTGTCCACTTGTTTGTGAGTTTTAAGCTAAAAGAACATCAGCCCAGCTCTTTTGGCTTAAATCTTACTATCTTAGGGGGTGCTGCCTTGCCTCTTTCTTTGATGGCCTTTTGTCTTTTTTCTTTCTTCCCTTGTGTTTTTTGGGGGTTAGGGTGTTGCAGGCCACACTTGGAGGTGCTAGGGCTTACTTCTGGCTCTGTGCTCAGAGATTACACCTGGTGGGGCTTGGGAAACCATATGGGGTACTAGGGACTGGGTTGGCACAGTGCAATGCCAGCATCCCCACTCTGCACTATCTCTCCTGCCTCACCCCATGAGGCTGGATGGTTGTCACCTTCCTCTCCTCTGGTCTCATTTCAATGTGCCGTGAGTTGCACTGGGTGACTTGCAAATGAACGTGGGGGAGTGGGCGGGGCCTCGAGCGAAGGCTCCTGGTTACTCTGCCCCCTTTGTAGGAAGTGGGCGGGGCCTCCCAGCTAAGGCTCCTGGTTGCTCCGCCCCCTTAGTAGAAAGTAGATGGGGCCTTGAGCTGAGTCTTTTGGTTGCCCCGCCCTCTTAATAGGAAGTGGGAGGAGCCTTGAGCTGAGGCTCCTCGTTGCTCCGCCCTGTTAGTGGAAAGTAGGCGGGGCCTCGAGATCAGGCTCCTGTTGCCCCGCCCCTCAATAGGGAGTAGGCGGAGCCTCGAGTTAAGGTTCCCGGTTGCCCCGCCTTCATAGTAGGACGTGGGCGGGGCCTTCAAGCTAAGGGTCCTTGTTGCTCCGCCCCCTTAGTAGGAAGTAGATGGGCCTTGAGCTGAGGCTCCCGGTTGCCCCGCCCCTTAATAGGAAGCAGGTGGGGCCTCGAACTGAAAGCCCCGTTGACCCGCCCCCTTAATAGAAAGTGGGCGGAGCCCTTCACTGAGTCTCCTGGTTGCCCCGCCCCTTTCGTGGGGAAGTAGGCGGGGCCTTGAGATGAGGATAATAGTTGCCCCGCCCCTCAGTAGGGAGTGGATTTCAGCTGTCCATTGTGACCTTCATGACAACGCCTGACCTCAGTGTCCCTGCCAGCGTCCACAGGGGCAGACCTGCCCCATCTTCCCACAGGGCTGCTGTGGATTGGGGGCTCTGGGGTCCGCCTTCTGGACTTTGCATCTCGTGTGTCCCTCCTAACCGTGCCTGCTCAGAGCAGCTGAGCCCCGACGCTGCTGCCTCCAGGCCCTGCTCTCACTCCTCGGGGACCCAGGGGCTGAGGGCTGGGCCTCCAGGCTTAGCTGCCACCCGGGGCCGCCCCCCACCCCCTCTCCCCCAGGCCTCAGTGTCTGTGCTTCCCCAGACCCTGCTCTCATGGAGCCCGAGGCCTTGGAAACGTGCCCCTACAACCCCCACCACCGGATCCCCCTCGGTCGCTTCCAATACCACCTGGCCTCCTGCCGGAGGAAGAACCCCAAGAAGGCCAAAAAGATGGGCAGCTGCAAATACAACGCCTGCCACGTGGTCCCCATCAAGAACCTGGAGGAGCACGAGGCGGGGTGCGCGAGCCGCGGCAGCCTGGAGGAGGAGGGCAGCTGGAGCCCCCCGAGGCTGGGCGCAGAGCAGGACCCCCCTCCAGCGGCCCGTGGCTCTCCCGCTGGCTCCCCGGGCCCGACACCTGGAACGTGGACAACAGCAACTGCCGCCCCATGTTCGTCCTTAAGACTTTTGTCCCTCAGAAGCTTGTTTGTGAAAGTGACGCCAGAGCGTCAGAGATGGGGGGCTACTCTGCCCCCCTGAAGAACCTCAGACCAGGCGAATGATGCCCCCAGCAGCAAGGAACCCCCCCCCCCCCCCCCCGCACACGAGGGAGCCAGCCAGGCTCGGGGCAGCTCTGCAGAATAAAAAAAAAAAAAGGCCTGTGACAGCACTGCCCCGCCCCGTCTGGTGCGTTCTCGCTGGAAGGGGGTCGCAGGGCTGACGCAGGCTGTCACCAATCCAGGGCATTGGTGAGAAAGTGAGTTGGGAGACTCCCCTGCAAGCTGCTCTGATGGTCCTGATCAAAGTGATGTCTAATTGCAGGGAGGCAGAGCTCGTCCAGGGCTTAGGGCTCTTGCCTTGCATGTGGCTGACCCTGGTTCAATCCCTGACACCACATAGAGATCCCCCAGGCATCTCCAAGCATCACCATAGCTGAGCCCTCAGCACTGCCATTGGGGGTGGCCCAACACCACCCCCCCAGAGGAAAAAAAAAAGCAGTTGCAGGTGGTTGAACTTCTAAGTCTCCTTCACAACACACAGGCACTGATCTCAACAGCCCAAGGCTACAGGTGAGGAAAAAAACCCAGGCTGCAGAGGGGAACTGAATAAAGGACAGAATCAGTAGGATAGTTAAGTAGTTAGGGTGCTTGTCCCGCTCATGGCCCACCTGAGTTCCATACCAAGCACCCTATAGGGTCCCCTGATCCTGCGGGGAGTGATCCCTGAGCTCAGAGCCAGGAGCAAGCCCTGAGCACCACTGGGTGTGGCCTCAAAAACAAACCGACAAGGGGCCGGAGTGATAGTACAGTGGGGAGGGCATTTGTCTTGCACGGCCAACCGGGTTCAATCCCGGCATCCCAAGCACCGCCAGGAGTAATTCCTGAGTGCATGAGCCAGGAGGAACCCCTGAGCATCTCTGGGTGTGACCCAAAAAGCAAAAACAACAAAACAAAACCCAAAAAATGACGAACAATACCTAGGGGCGTTTGCCTTGCACGCGACCGACCCAGGTTCGATTCCCAGCATCCCATATGGTCCCCTGAGCACCGCCAGGAGTAATTCCTGGTGCACTCACATGAGTCAGGAGTAACCCCTGTGCATCACCAGGTATAACCCAAAAAGCAAAAAATAAATAAAAATAAAGAATAAAACATTCTACTTAATACATTTACTCAGGTGCATTTTCTGGTGTACTCTAACCAGAATACTGGTCCTACACAGGCTAGATCTGCACTAATTAACTCACTCATCCCGGGTCACAGTAAGTGAGCCTGTCCGGCCCCTTCTCTATGGGACAGGCAGAGCTCCTTAACCGGCCTCCTCCAGAACTGTCAGGACAGTCAAGGGGTTTCAGGAAGTTCAGGAAGAGTCCGGAGCTTCTGTGGAAACTTCCTGTTGGAGATCTGAGGGGAAAGAGCTGGCCTCAGGGGAACGTCGGCTCTAGATTCCTGCTCTGGCCCCCAGCCCACTGCTCCCTCTCCTCCTCATCCTTGTCCCCACCTATTCGTCCGGGAACATCTGCTGATTTCCAGGTCCAAGAAATTACATTGCAGGCCGGGAGCCCAAGGCGCTGGATTGTTTTGCATTTTGGGATACCTGGTTTTGGTGGTCTGCACGGTCCCACGAGCACTGCCAGGTGTAATCCCTGAGCAACAAGCTAGGAATATTCTCAGGCACCGCTGGGTGCGAGTTGCCCCCCTCACCCCCCCACAAAAGACCTTACATTGATTCAATAAATAGACATACATGATATACTTATGTTCAAATTTATATGAAAGTAGAAAAGTAAAATACAAAAATTCAGACAAAAGCAGACTGACCTCCGGGAGACCCCCTCCGAGCTGCTCCAGGCCCCCCAGCGGAGACCTGGTCTCCACAGAGGCGGCTTCCCCGGCGACAGCTGTGCTCACTGCTTTCCAATTATAAGGGGCGGGGGGGGGGGGGGGCATGGGGGGAGGAACAGGACCTTTTCAGTCTGGATAAACCATTTCACAATTGCTGCCCAGGGCTGGAGCAATAGCACAGCAGGTAGGGCGTTTGCCTTGCATGCAGCCAACCCGGGTTCGATTCCCAGCATCCCATATGGTCCCCCAGCACCGCCAGGAGTAATTCCTGAGTGAAGAGCCAGGAGTAACCCCTGAGCATTGCTGGGTGTGACCCAAAAAGCAAAAAAAAAAAAAAAACCCTACAATCGATGCCCAGCGGAGAGCTGGTAGAGTTGAGTTCATTCAAGCAAAGGCTACACAGTGCTTGATGAGAGCATAGAGGACTTACGAATCAGAAGAATAAAGAATGCCAAAGGAGAAAGTGCTGAGGAGAGGTGCAGAGAGATAGTACAGTGAGTAGGGGGCTTGCCTAGACAGTGACCCGGTTTCAATCCTCTACATCCTCGGGGCTGGAGAGATAGCACAGCGGGTAGGGCGTTTGCCTTGCACGCGGCCGACCCGGGTTCGATTTCCAGCATCCCATATGGTCCCCTGAGCACCGCCAAGGAGTAACCCCTGTGCATTACCCCAGGTGTGACCCAAAAAGGAAAAAAAATAAAATAAACCAATCCTCTACATCCTCATATGGTCCCCAAGCTCTGTCAGGCATGATCCCTGACCACAGGTTCACTACCCTGAGCATAATCAGCATAACCAGATGCGCTCCCCCACCCAACAAGAAGTTTTAAAAGTCAAAGGGTTCAGAGGAGATGGCTCAATGGGCTAAAATACATGGGGCCCTGGCAAGACCTGGTTTACCTGAGCACTGCTGGGAGTGGCCCGGAGCACCACGACCCACGCTCACCCCAACAAAAGAAAAACACCTTTCAAGGACCTTCCTAGACCTTCCGGAAATGTCCGTCACCTCATTTAGCTGCAAACACACCAATGACCACCAGGTGGCACCACCTGAAAGCGCTTCAACAGCAAAGCCAGCAGCTCTTCTGGCTGAACATCTCACGTAACAACTAAATTTACAAACAGGGCAACCCTGTAATCCATCAACCCCATATCGGGGCATATTTCCATGAAGATTGAAAGCAAGATGCCAGAGTGCTGTTTGCACATGTCATTGCCGAGAGTGCCCATCAGTCTAGGCACGTGAGGGCTGAACTTGAGCGGGACAGGCCTGGAAGGAAATTCTAACATTTGCCAGAGCAGGGATGAGCCTTGACTTGAAGCTAAAGAAATTCACAAAGAGAGAAATAGTGACGGGGGGGGGGGGGGGGGGGGGGCTGGAGCGATAGTACCGTGGATACGGCATTTGCCTAGCATGCAGCCGGCCCAGGGTCAGCCCCCAACACCCAATATGGTCCCCACAGCCCCGCCAGGAGTGATCCCTTAAGCACAGAGCCAAGAGTAAGCCCTGAGTGCTGCCAGGTGTGGCCCCTCATCAAAGACTAATACTGAGCCAGAGAGAACAGAAGATGCAGAAATTGCACGTGGCTGACTCTGGTTTGATCCCCCAGCACCACGCATGGTCCCCTGAGCAGCACCAAGCACTGCCAGCCAGATGTGGCCCTACCTACCCTCAGCACCCCCCACCCCATTCTCCTTATTCTCCTTGGATGAGAGGCCCCACAGAGAACAACTAGGCTGGGATGTGCCTCTGTGGGTGCCCTGCCCATTGCATTATCTCCCCAGACCACCGGCTGGTTTTGTTTTTCGCTTTTTGGGTCACACCCGGCGATGATCAGGGGTTACTCCTGGTGGCGCTTCGGGGATGCCGGGGATTGAACCCGGGTTGGCCATGTGCAAGGCAAACGCCCTACCTGTTGTACTATTGCTCTGGACCCTGTTTTTTTTTTTTTTTTAACCCCAGGGAACACATTTTATCCTGCTCCAGTTCTGGCCTTTGCTACTTCCAGGCCAGCCCCACTCAGCATCACCCGAGCTCCTGTGTGTGTGTGCACGTTTGGTTTATAAACTCAAATCCATACCCTCGAAGCCCTGAAAAGATGCAGGTGTGTGTATTGTGTGTGTGTACAGGTATGGTTTATAAACTCAAACCCAAACCCTCAGGGTCCTGAAAAGATGCCCCAGGCAAGAGTCAGGTTGAGGGGGAAGATCCAGGCTGGCGGGGCGTGGGCTCCTATCCTGCTCCAGTTCTGGCCGTTCCTCCCAGGGCCGTCCCACCCCCAGCCTCCACCCCCCTCCTGATGACTGGATGCAGGAGGTCCACAGGGGCCTGATGAGAAACCTGACTCCAGGGCTGGAACCACAGCAAGGCAGGGGGTTACTTGCACTGCAAGTCTGACCATCCACCCCCAGAAATGAGCCCTGAGCGCTGCCAGGTGTCCCCCCTCCCCCCGCACCAAGAAAAAACACTCCTCCAGCCTGACCCCCAGACCCGGACCCTCCAACAGGCACCTGCCCCTCAGTCCCTGACCTCTGAGCTTCAGGAGTTGAGGACTGGGGTCCCCATGGATTCACTGGTGGACCTGGGGCCATGAGTGTCTCGGCAACAGCCACACAGAGCCCGGCACCCCACCGCAAACCCACCCCCACCACCAAGAGCAGCGCTTCTGGGGCCACCCCTGGGTGGACCGGGCCTGGGGCAATGACAGAGGACGGCGGGGCCAGCAGAGTCCAGGGCCGCGCCAGGGGAACATTTTATTCTCTGCAGATGGGAGCAGGTGAGCACGACCACAGCCCGTCGTAAACAGGGGCTGGCCCGAGGGAAACAGTTCTGCTTGAGCACCAGGGTCCACCATGGGGACAGGGACGCGGGGGGCAGGGGCCGGGCCGGCCTGAGTGCCCCCTGTAAACATGAGCGGGGCCCCTCAGGACAGGATGAGGGTCCGAGATGTGTGGCTGGGCTTCAGGCGGCCCAGGACCTGCCGCGCCTTCTCCTGCATGAACAGCTGGTCCTTGGTCCCGCCGCAGGCCACCGTCTTCCAGGCGCTGGTCATCTGCGAGAAGGTCACAGTGACTGTGCAGGCAGGGACTGCCGCGCCCATCCCCCCCCCCCCGGGGGAGGTCAAGGCCCCCCACCCCCAGCACGACAAGGCCCAGACATGGAACCAAGGACGGCCTTGTCAGTGAGTGAGAACGTGTGTCGCGGAGTGGGGCGCCCCCGGATGACACCGAGAGTGAAGGCAGGTCTGCGGGGACCCCCCCTCCCAGCACCCTGCGGGGAGCCAGCACTTACGGGGGCCGGGGCAGAAAAGTAGCTCCGGGATTTCGGGGCGGCCGCAGGCTTCTCGGGCCTGGCCTGCAGGAAGCCCCGGTTGAGCAGGCTGGTGTCCTCCTGGACACCTGACAGGGACAGGCTGAGGCCCGAGGAACCGGAGGGGACGCCCAAAGGCTGGAACCAAAGAGAAGCAAGGGCTGGACCCGGCCGCGCTCTCCCAGGAAAGCAGGCGGGGTCCGTCCAGCATGGAAGCACTCGCCCGGCTGCCGGATCCCAGGTTCAACCCACTGGGCGTGGCCTGGAGTGGTCCCAAGCATCCGGGGGTGGCCCCAAAAGCCAAAAGGATGAGCCTGACCTGTTCCCGGTAGAGCCCTGGGCCACGCGGTCATGTCCCTTGGGCCGTGTCTATGGAGAGACTCGCTCTTGTTTTGGGGCCCACACCCTGTGAGGTCCGGGAGCTGAAGCCCTGCCTGTCTCAGAAACGTCCCCAGAGGGAACATCAGGGGCACCCCTGCCCCTGCTATCCCAGAATCCCCCTCTGCCAGGCGCTTTCCCCATGACGAGTCGCCTGGCTTGGGGGCTGCAGAAACTGGCAGACCCCAGTGGTGAGGACTAAAGGGCATGCCTGTCCCGTGTCCCTCTGCCCCTGGCCAGCTGCAAGCCAGCCAGGCTCGCCCATCTCAGCTTCAGGACCAGCGTGGCTAGGCTTTGGACACTCGGTGCCCCCAGCTAGCCCTAATATCGGGTCCCCACGAGAGAGAACATAAGAATGGTGCCAGGGCCCCAGACCCACATTTCCCCGGACCCCAGCAAAGCGCTGCAGTGCTCCGGGACACATCCCCCACCCTTGCTTTTTTTTCTTTTGCTTTGGCACCAGAGCCCGCGTGCCCCGAGTTCTGTCCTGCTACACCAGGGACCGTCTGCTTCGGGGGGGAGAACCAGCAGCCCACCCTCGCCAGGGGGGAGCACCTTGGGCAGCGGAGACAGTAGCAGCTTCATGTCCTCATCCACGATGTCCAGGGCCAGAGACTTGCGCACCTTCTTCACGGGGCTCCGGCGCAGCTGGGAGGGCGACACAGTGAGGGGCGGGTGCCGGGGACACAGACGTTGCCCCCAGACGGGCCGGGCACAGCCTGTCCCTCAAAGGCCCCCAGAGAATCACCCGTGCCACAGCCGCGCAGCACAGACAAGCCCCAGACACACTGGCAGTGTAAGCCCCGAGTGGGGGGGATGGTCAGGCTCCAGGATGCAGGGGCCTTGGGGCTACCACGCCAAGCCAGCAGTGTCCCCCCCAAACCAATGTGCCTGGCCTATGGCAACGGCAGATGGAGGGGCCCCCACCTGGGCTGGAGGGCCCCTCACTGGGCGCTGTCGGCTGCCCTGCCTCAGCCAGCCTGGCCCACCCGACCCGACATGGACACCAGGATTTCCGTGGCGCCCTCCCGGCCTCCCCCCCCCCGGGGCCCCGCTCACCCCCATCTTCCGCTTCTGCTTCTCGGGCCTCAGGTCGTCCTCAATGCCCAGCTCCAAGCCCGCCTCGGAGCGCAGCACCTCCTTCAAGTCCTCCTCCAGGTGCGGGGTCTGGGGCTGCGGACAGGCGGGCACACGGCCACGTGAGGCCTCAGTCTGGCCAGGCCAAACCCAGCCTCGCAGAGTTGATAGCGCGGGACAGGGCGGGGACCCCCGAGAAGCCCCCGGAAACTCTCAGGTGCCCAGAAACCAGCTGAGCTGAGCCCTCAAAGGGGTCTAGAGAGCAGGCCGGTGAGTCTTGGGGCCACCCCACGCCCCACTCACACACGGACACACACATGCAGACACATGGACACACACATACAAGCAGACATGACACACGGACACACACATGCAGACACACAGATAAAGGGGCACACATACGTATGTGCAGACACATATATACAAACATGAAGACACATGGACAGAGGGGCATGTGCAGGCATGCATACACACGCACACACACACACACGCACACTGCCCTGCAGTCTTAGCTCTCCCCGAGGAGCCCGAGAGGAAGGCCAGGCCCCAATGGTCAGAGAAAGGCCTCCTGGCCGCCCTCTCCCACCCAAGCTCATTCCTAGAGCACTTCCGGGCCCACGCACCCGCTCACCCCTTTCGGCACTGGGGGCGCAGGGCCTCTGCTGAGCAGGAAGCCCCCCGTACCTCCAGCCCACCTCCAAGAACCCTTTGGGGTCTGGTCCAGGACCCATGTCAGAGAGGGCAGAGCGACAGCACAGCATCGATCCCCAACACCACGTACGATCCCCCCCGAACCCCGCCAGAAATGATTCCTGGTGCAAAGCCAGGAGTAAGCCCTGAACAATGCCAGGTGGGCCCAAATACCACCACCACCACCACCCCACCAAAAAAGGGAAAAAATCGCAAAGTCACAGCATGAGCATATTGGCAGAGGCGTCCCCCTCCAGTGCCACCCTTCTTCCCAGCACTGATTTTCTGGCGATGGTGCAGAGTGGAGCCCCAAATTCCCTGGAGAAACCCCCAGAGGCCACTGGGTCCCCAGCACCAGTGCTGTCCCTGGGCCATGCTCAGGAAAAGACCCCAGGCAGCTAGGAGGCGGCTCAGGGTGTCGGGTGGAACATCTGGGTGGGGAATGTCTGTTGTGCAGGAGGTCAGGGGGTTCCAACCCCTGCACCGCTTGGTCCCCAACAAACAAACAAGAAGCCTCGGAGATGACTGGCAACCTCTTGGCGGGGCCAGTGCAGAACCAAGTCCTGGGTACCCTGAAAGGCACGGGCAGCGTGCCCCCATTGCAGTCACGTACCAGGGGCTTCAGGGGTCCATACTTCTCCAGCGCGTTCTTGAAGGGGGTGGGCGTGTGCGGAGTGTTGTCCATGGAATACTTCTGATCTGGGGTCACGAACCTGCAGGGAGGGGGCCGGGCAGGCTCAGAAGCAGGAAGGAACAGGAAGGGGTTAGAAGGGGGGTCCCCGCGGGAAGGCGCTGAGAATCTCACTCTGGAACCGGGCCCTGCCCTGGAAGGCGGAACAGGGACATAGAGAGCAAGGCAAGTAGATGCTTGCCTTGCGCACAGCTGACCCGGATTCGATCCCCGGCATCCCATATGGTCCCGGATGCACCACCACCAGGAGTTAATTCCTGAGTGCAGAGCCAGGAGGAACCCCTGAGCACCGCCAGGTGTGACCCAAAAAGCAAACAAACTGAAAAAAGAACACCGGCTCTCCCGGCCCGAGCAACCCTGCAGTGGGGAGGGTGTGGGCCTTGCATGCAGCCAACTCTGCTTCTGTCTCCCCATGGTGGTCCCCCAAGCAGAACCAGGAGTTAAGTTCCGAGCACTGCAGGGCGTGGCTCCAAAGCACAAAAGCCCCAAACAAACAAAACAGGGAGCTGGAGCGCTCTTAGGACAGCAGTCAAGTGCTCACCTTGCACCCAGTCGACCCGGGTTCCATCCCCAGGATCCCACAGGGCTCCCCTGAGCCCACCGGGAGTGATCCCCAAGTGCAGAGCCAGAAGTAAGCCCTGAGCAACAACAAGCGTGGTCGCCAAACCAAAGACTGAGCACTCCCTCGGCCCCTCCGAAAGGTGAGACTGTGGGAGGGTAAGGATCGGAGCAGACCCCCGAGGCTTGCATGGACGTGGCCCGGGGGAGTGGCCTCTGCCTACACTGGCGGAAGTGGACAGGGGAGGAGAGAGGGACTCTCTGGACCGAGAGACTCAGGGACCAGGGGACTCTGATGGTCCCCAGCCACCTGTTTCTTGAGGCCACTAGCAGAACACGGGTGGACAGAGGCTGTGAGAAACACCCGCAAGCGACCCAAAGCTGGGCCGGGTTCTGCAGTGGAAGGAGATCTCCCTGGCGCTAGAACCCCACCCAGTGTGACCGCCCCCCCCCCACCCCGAGTCCTGCCAGGCCAGCAGGGGGCACTCACGCAGCGTGCTTCTGGTGCAGGGGCGTCTTGTCGCGGTGCAGGGGTGTGGTGACCACCACCTTCTGGCTGCACACGGGCGTGGACGTCAGCGAGGGGCTCTCCAGCTCCAGCGCATCCTGCTTGTTCCAGAAGTTCAGAAACTGCCCGGAAGATCCAGAGAAGGGACAGAGGTGGGCCTGGGGAGTCTCCCAAGGGCCGCTCCAAGTCGGCAGTCGGAGAACCAAGGCCAGGACTGAGAGCAACCCTGCCGTGCCCAGGCTGACCCCGGGCAGGTCCCCACCCCAACCCCCACTTTCATCCGCTGGCTGAAGCACCACCCGCCCCAAGGTGGACAGCTTGTACCTCACCCCAAGAATTCCAGGTTGTGGGGCGGGAGGCATAGCAAGGCGCTTGTAATAACAAGGCATGCAACCGCCCCGGAGGTCAATCCCCAGCATCCCCACCCCCACCCCGGCCCCCAAGCCCCACCAGGAGTAAGCCCTGAGCATCTCTGGGTGTAGTCCCAAAAGCAAAAGAAAACACGGCTTTCCAGGTGGTCCTCATGGTCCTGAGCACAGGTGACCACGCCCCTTCTCGGATAAGCAAGCCCAGAGCGGGCTAGAGACACAGCACCGTGGGTCTCCGTGGGTCACGGCGCCTGCCCCACACGCCTGCAACCCAGGTTCACTCCCAGCACTACAGACGGAACTCAAGCCCCACCTGGAGTGGTCCCTGCGCACAGAACCAGGAGTCAGCCCTGAGCACAACTGGGTGTGGCCCAAAAACCAGAAGGAAAGAAGCCAGGGGTGCCCAGCAAAACAACAACAAACACATCAGACAGGCTCGGGGAGGGGCTTCCCGGCTGGTGGGCTGGAGAGCCATCTGCAGCCTACTGCCCTAAGCTGCCCCTGGGGCTGTGCGCCCGCCCACACACACACAGACCAGCAGCGGCCTCCAGGGTCTGGGGGTAAAGACAAACCAGGGATGCGGAGCACAGCGCGTGGAGGGAAGCTCATCACTCGCACTGCGCCTGGCCGAGTCCCCACCGCCCTGCAGGCGGCCAGGGCGACTCTTGAGCACTGTACCCCGAGCAAGGCCGGGTGTGGCCTAGAGACACAATGCACAGGCAGCCTGGCTCAACTAACTGGCTCCAAACTCAGACAGTCCTTTGTCATCACCCCCTTGTCCCGACCCCATTCCTCTTCTTCCTCCTCCTCCTGGAAGCCTTCCCGTCTCCACCTGGCCGACCGGGCATCCCTGGCAGGGCTGGCAGCCTCCAGCACCCGCCGACCACACGCCCGGGCACCTTTTCGGGGACAGGGACGCCAGCCTTACTGAGGAAGTGGGAGAGCGGAGAGCGGGGAGCGAGGGGCAGGCCCAGCCCGTGGGGGCGCACACCTGGGAGGGCGAGAAGGGCAGCGCCTTGACGGGGGTGCTCTTGGGCGTGAGGCTGCAGGAGTCCAGGCCCGAGAGGCCGCCGCCGCCGCCAGGCTCCGTCACCGGGGACAGGGCCACGCGCCGCTTCTTCTGCCGCTGCAGCACGGAGGGCGGCGTCCTCAGGCCCAGGCCGCCCACCTCGGTGCTGGGGGAGATGGGGATCAGCTCGCCCCGGCTGCCCCGGCTCAGGTCCGAGATGGTGTGTCCGTCCAGGCGGTACTCGGTGACACTGGGCGCCGGGCCGGCGGGTGGGCGGCTGGGGGGCACCTGGGGCCGCAGGGGGCTGCTGCCCAGGCTGGCCTCCAGCGACGGCTCCTCGGGGAGGTCGAACTTGCTCAGGTCACACCACGCGTCCGGGTCCTGCTCAGAGAGAGGTCGGCCCTGGCCGCGGCTCTTAGCCGCGGGCAACGCAGAGCAGCAGTGATGAGGACTCAGGACCCCGGGGAAGCCACGCGGGGCGGGGGACGGGGACAGGAAGTGGGTCCGCAGCAGAGCCCGGGCAAAAGGAAAAATGAAAAATCAACAAGCACCAGGGGCTGGAGCGATGGGCACAGCGGGGAGGGCGTTTGCCTTGCATGCGGCTGGCCCGGGTTCGATTCCCAGCATCCCATAGGGTCCCCCGAGCACCGCCAGGAGTGATTCCTGAGTGCATGAGCCAGGAGTAACCCCTTTGCATCACCAGGTGTGACCCAAAAGGCCAAAAAAAAAAAAAGAAAATCAACCAGCACGGAAAAGAGACAGAGGCCCAGCCCAAGTCGGATGCTTCTCCCTCCCCGACTCCCCCCCGCCCCGCCAGGGATGCTCGACCGATGGGGCCAGGGAGACTGCTGGGTGGGGGCAGTGGCTTCTCACACGGGAGCCCCCCGGTTGGAACCCCGCCCCTCCTGGCTCCCCCAGTCCTGCGGGGAGCAGCACCCCAACACCACGAGGTGTGGCCCCCAAACAAGACTTTGTATGAGAAACGAAAACAGAAACAAAAAGTTGCATGAGAAAAAATAGAAAAAGACAAAGAGAAGCTGGGGGGTGGCTTGGTGGCAGTGCATGAGACCCCGGATTCCACATCGCAGCGCAAACAGGCGTGGGCGCTGGGTCCGAGGCGGGACGGCACACGATGGCCCCACACAAGCCTCGACGGCTGGTTCAGTGTGGCCCCTGGGGTCCCCGGCGGTCACTTCAGAAAGCGACTCTCCTGTCTGTCTCCCCATGCCCTGGCTGAACACTCAGCATCGGTCAGCACCGGCCGGCAAGAGGCTGACCCCCAGGAAGCACTGAGGGGGCCGGGGGGGGGGGGGTAGGGGGGGCGGGGTATATAGCAGAGACAAGAGGCCCTGGGCCCACCGTCCAGTGCGTGACTGGCCTTACCGACTCAATCAAGTCCAGGGCCTCAGAGAAGCTGGAGCCCATGGCGGGGACGAGGAGGTTGGTTGCCTCCACCACCCACTTGTAGGGCAGGTTGGTTTCCTGCGGGGAGCCGCCCTCCTCGCCCTCCTCCTCCTCCTGGGCCTCCTGCTTGAGGAAGAGGTCCAAGGGCTCGGGTGTCGGCCCGTCCAGCTCTGCAGAGCCGGTGTCTGGCTCCTGAGACGCCGAGGTGGTGGCCACAGTCTCTTCCTCGCTGCTCTCCTCCTCCTTCATGGCGGGCAGCCCGGCGGGGCAGACAGGCCCGGCACTGCCCTGTTGGACAAGAGGAGAGGGGGGGGTCTGTGTTGAGACAGGCACCGGGCAGACCCACGTCCCCAGGACCCAGACGTAAAAACACCTGAACCCAAGCGGAGAGGCGACCCGACTCAGTGCCTCAAAAAATAATCAGGAAAGGGGCTGGAGCGAAGCACAGTGGGGAGGGTGCTTGCCTTGCACGGGGCAGACCCAGAGACCTGGTTCGATCCTCGGCATCCCCGATAGCCCCCTCCCCCCTCCCCCACCACGCCAGGAGTGATTACTGAGCACAGAGCCAGGAGTAAAGACTGGGCAAGCTGGACGTAGACACACACCCCACACACGCACACACACACGAAAAAAACTCATCAAGACTAGGAGGCAGAGCTGGAGTGATAGCACAGAGGGTAGGATGTCTGCCTTGCACGCAGCTAACCCAGGTTCGATTCCCAGCACCCCATGTGGTCCCCTAAGCACCTCCAGGAGTGATTCTTGAGTGCAGAGCCAGGAGTAACCCCTGTGCATCGCCGGGTGTGACCCAAAAATTTAAAAAAAGAAAGACCAGGAGGTGGCTGGGTGATCAGACATCAGGAAAGGCGTTTGCCTTGCACACCACCGACGTGGATTCGATCCCCAGCATCCCATACGGTCCCCCGAGCACCGCCAGGAGTAATTCCTGAGCATCACTTAGTGTGATCCAAAAAGTAAAAAAGGAAAAAAGATTTTTTTTTAAATTAAAAAAAAAAAACACAGACTGGGGCTGGAGCGATAGCACAGCGGGTAGGGCATTTGCCTTGCACGCAGCCAACATGGCCAACACAGGTTCGATTCACAGCATCCCGTATGGTCCCCCGAGCACTGCCAGGAGCAATTCCTGAGTGCATGAGCCAGGAGTAGCCCCTGAGCATCGCCGGGTGTGACCCAAAAAGCAAAAAAAACCAACAAACAAACAAACAAACAAAAAAAAACAGACTAAGAGAAGGACTGGAGAGAGAGAACAGTCTTAAAAATATATCAAGTTCCGGGCTGGAGCAATAGCACAGCGGGTAGGGTGCTTGCCTTGTATGCGGCCGACCTGGGTTCGATTCCTAGCATCCCATATGGTCCCCTGAGCACCACCAGGGGTAATTCCTGAGTGCAGAGCCAACCCCTGAACATCACTGGGTATGAGCAAAAAAAAAAAAAAAGAAAAAAGAAGAAGCAAAAAATATATAAAGTTCATTCCGGGGCCCGAGAGATGGTTGGCAGGGCTGGGGCAGGTGTTTTGTATGTCGAGTCCAGGCTTGGTCCCCGGGCACTGCTGGGAGCAGCCCCGTGTCTATCTCCAACGGGCCCCAAACCAAAAATGAAAGATCCTCCTGGGGTGTGGGGACTAACGCGCTGGCTTCCCACAAGGGCAAACGGAACCCAGAGGACTCCACAGACGACTCTAGTGAGCAGACGGAGGGGCCAGGAGGGGTGGGCAGGGGCCAGGAGGGGCCAGCTGATGCAAAGGGCCACAGCGGGGCAGGGAGGGGAGGACGTTGGCCTTGCACGCAGCTGACCCAGGTTCCGCCCCCGGCATCCCATATGGGGTGTCCGTCAGGTCTGATCCCTGCGTGCGGAGCCCCAGGAGTGACCCTGAGCACTGCTGGGTATGGCCCAGAAACAAACAAAGTGTCAGGGGGAGACAGAAGGGAATTGGGGCGTGAGGAGATCTCAGTTGTCTCGTGGCGACACACTCAGAGCCACAGCGAGTACCAAGCCCCAAGCACCACACTGTGGGAGTCCCGCAGAGCCAGGCTGGCTTCCCCGCGCTGAGACAAGCTGAACAGATTAGGACGGGACAGCGGGCTAGGGGCAAGCCGACCCGAACATTCCAGCCTCCTGTATCCGTGGGGGTGCAGGATCACACGCGGGCCTCACCCACAAGCCTGGGCCTGGCTCAGCACCCAGCTACTCCCCGCAAGGCCCTGGCATCGTGGTCTCCTGGGTGTCCCCAACCCCACCGTGCCCTCAAGCCCGAAGTGAGTCCCTGCCCGCCGCTCACCTGGCCTGCCGGGGGCCGGGGGCCCTGGCCGCCGTCCTTGTCCTCCAGCTCTAGCAGCAGGTACACCGGGCGCCTGCAGTCCTTGGACTCGCTCAGGAAGGCCCCGGTGTCCACCTTCCTCTTGATGGTGGAGTTCCAGTGATTCTTCACAGCATTGTCAGTCCTGCAGGGTGCCAAGGCACTCTGAGCCCCAGCCCCGAGGCAGGGCGTCCCCCACACGCTAGTACTCGCCCCCAGCTTGGCCGCCACGACTGGGTCAGCCTGACACATGCCGAGGCCCTGGGTGCCCCGAGGGAGCTGCGGTTCAGCCTCTGCACACTGAGGAGACGAGGACTCGGTCTCCAGGGAAAAGTACACCCGCTCGCCAACCGGACTTAGCAGGGGGAGCAGGGCAGAGCAGGGGTGACCCAAGGGTCCCTCTCTGGACAGTCTAGAGACCTCTTCACAGATGTGATAGAGAACATGGGTAACTACAGCAGGACAGAGTACTACCAAGCACAGGTAACAGTACTACAGCAGGACAGAGTACCACTGAGCACAGGTAACAATACTACAGCAAGCCAGAGTACTGCTGAGCACAGGTTAACAGTCCTACAGCAGAACAGAGTACTACCGAGTACAGGAAACAGTACTATAGCAGGACAGAGTACCGCTGAGCACAGGTAACAATACTACACCAGCTAGAGTACCACCAAGCACCGGTAACAGCAGTACTACAGCAAGCCAGAGTACCGCTGAGCACAGGTAACAGGCCTACAGCAGGCCAGGGTACTACCGAGTACAGGAAACAGTTACTATAGCAGGACAGAGTACTACTGAGCACAGTAACTGTCCTACAGCATGTTGGAGTACTACCAAGCCCAGTTAACAGTCGTACAGCAGGACAGAGTATCACTGAGCATAGTACAATCCTACAGCAGGCCAGAGTACTACCGAGCACAGGTAACAGCAATACTACATCAGGCCAGAGTACCGCTGAGCACAGTAACTGTCCTACAGCATGTCAGAGTACTACCAAGCCCAGGTTAACAGACCTACAGCAGGCCAGAGTACCGCTGAACACAGCAACAGTCCTACAGCATGATAGAGTAGTACCAAACCCAGGTAACAGTACTACAGCAGGACAGAGGTGCTACAGAGCTAGGGTAGCAGTCCCAATACTAAGCACTTCCCTTTGGGGCTCTGAGCAGAGTGCTCTCCCTTGCCTGGTCTGTGAGCAGAGCACAGCTGCCTGGGTGAGCGCCACCAAGTCCTCCTCCCGGGCTCTCAGGCACTGTGCCCAGGGCGGGAAGCTGAACAGAGGTCAGGCCACGGCGTCAACCCTGCCTTTTGCTGGTCAGGTCCTGGAGGGGTAGGGGAAGGACGCCCAGGAGCTACTGAGGCTGGACCCCAGGACAGTCCCTTCCCTCAAGAGAGCTCAACCTCTGTGGTAGAGCAGCCGGTTGGGCCTTTGCCTCACAAGGCAGCTGACCCCAATTCAATCCCTGGCACCACCAGGAGTGATCTGTGAACAGCGCCAGAATTAGCCCCTGAGCACTGCCAGTTGAGGTCTAAACCTGATCCCCCCAAAACACAATCTCACTTGGGGGTGCCAGAGAGGTAGTTCAAAGGACTAGAATGTGGACCTCTGGGTTCGTGCCTTGGCACCCATGGTTTCCGGAGCACTGCTGGGCATGACTCTCCCGAGAGAGAGAACTCACCCCTGCGTGTTCACACAGACTGTTCATGTGGGGGCCAGAAACAAGTACAGGGCATAAGGCCTTGCAGGTGGTTGGCCCCAGTTTAAGCCCCAGCACACATAGTCCCCCCAGCACAGCCAACAGTAATCCCCCAAGCAGAGCCAGATGTGGCCCAAACCCCCATATATACCCAAAAAGTTCCACCCACTAAGCTAAGGGGAACACATGATCCCTCCAGCCCCAGCCAAGAGGAACCGCCGAGCATCACCCAGAACCCAAAAGGCCAAACAAACAACAAAATAGTAAGGTCAAAAATTGAAAGTTTATGGGGCTGGAGAGATAGCACAGCGGGTAGGGCGTTTGCCTTGCACGTGGCCAACCCGGGTTCAATTCCCAGCATCCCATATGGTCCCCTGAGCACCGCCAGGAGTAACTCCTGAGTGCAGAGCCAGGAGTAACCCCTGTGAATTGCCAGGTGTGACCCAAAAACCAAAAAAAAAAAATTAAATTAAAAGTTTAAATATGGACAGTCCTTCAAAAGCTAGAAACTGAGCTTCCAAATGACCCCGCAATACCACTTCTGGGAATATATCCCAAGGGTGCAAAAAAGCACAGTAGAATTGACATCTGTACCTATATGTTCATTGCAGCACTGTTCACAATAGCCAAAATCTGGAAACAACTCGAGTGCCCAAGAACAGACGATCAGGTAAAGATACTCTGGTGGGGCTGGAGTGATAGCACAGCAGGTAGGGCGTTTGCCTTGCACGCGGCCTGACCCGGGTTCGATTCCCAGCATCCCATATGGTCCCCTGAGCACCGCTAGGAGTAATTCCTGAGTGCATGAACCAGGAGTAACCCCGGTGCATCGCTGGGTGTGACCCAAAAAGCAAAAAATAAAATAAAGATACTTTGGCACATCGACACAATGGAATACTATGCAGCTGTTAGGAGAGATGAAGTCATGAAATTTGCTTATAAATGAATAGACATGGAGAGTATCATGCTAAGTGAAATGAGTCAGAAAGAGAGGGACAGACATAGAAGGACTGCACTCATTTGTGGAGTATAAAATAACATGAGACTGACACTCAAGGACAGTAGACACAAGGGCCAGGAAGATGGAAGCCTGTCTCATGAGCCGGGGGAGAAGGCAGCTGGAATAGCGAAGGGATCACTAAGAAATGATGGTTGGAGGGATCAGTCGGGACAGGGAATGTGTGCTGAAAGTAGATTAAGGACCAAACATGATGATCTCTCAGTATCTGCATTGCAAACCATAATGCCCAAAAGTAGAGAGAGAGTATGGAGAATATTGTCTGCCATGGAGGCAGGGGGAGGGTGGGAAAGGGGGGTTATACCGGGGATATTGGCGGTGGGGAATTGGCGGTGGAGAGATGGGTGTTTGATCGTAACTCAAACGTGAAAGCTTCTAACTGTATCCCACGGTGATTAAAAAAAAAAAATGAAAGTTTAAAAATGGGTGCCAGAGACAGTCCCGTGAGCCTTGGGTACTTGCCTGCACGCGGGCAACCAGGTACCCCAGATGGCCCCAAGCCCCACCAGGAATGTCGTCTGAGTACAGAGCCAGTTAATAAGCCTGAGCACAGCCAGGTGTGGCTCCCAATTAAACAAAAACAACAACAAAGGCTTAAGGAAAGGGGCTGGAGAGATAACAGCGGGTAGGGCATTTGCCGTGCACTCGGCCAACCTGGGTTCGAGCCCAGCATCATACGGTTCCCAGGGCCCGCCACGAGAGTCATCCCTGAGCACAGAGCCAAGAGTAAGCCCTGCGGACTATTGGGTATGGAGCCCCCCAAAATGAAAGGGGCTGGGGAGCCACATAGTCAACTTAGGCAGCGGGAGTTCGCCCCAGGAAGGTTCTGGCAAGAAGGGAATCACGTGTCCCTGGGCACTAAGATCCTGTCAGAAGGACACAAGAGCCCAGAGCAGGGCTGGTGCCGACACGAGACCCCACAACCCTGCAGGGGGGACCCAGACCCCAGCCCGGAGCTCAGACCCCGCCCCCCAGGAGAGTGGCCAGGCACCCCCGCTCACCTGCCCGGCAGCATCTTGGCGATCTCGGCCCAGCGGTTGCCCAGCACCTTATGGGCCTGGCAGATGATGCGGTCCTCCTCCTCCGTCCAGCAGGACTTCTTCACCTCGGGGTTGAGGTGGTTGTGCCAGCGCTCACGGCACTGCTTCCCCAGCCGGCCCTTCAGGTGCTTGGCAATGAGCGTCCACTGCTTCGTGCCGTACTTCTTGACCAGCTCGATGACCTGCGGCCCCCCCCGTCAGCCGTGAAAGCGAAGAAGACCTGCAGCCCGCCCCGGCCCTGCCCCCACTCCCCCCAGCTGCGAGGCCTCACCTTCTGGTCTTCCTCCTTGGTCCATGGCCCCTTGACCAGGTCGGGGTTCAGGACTCGCAGCCACCGGTACTGGCACTGCTGGTCGGTGCGGTTCTGCGGGAACACAGGCCTCCTGGGACGACCAGCTCCCCCCCACAGCCCTGGGGGGGGCTGCACTGAGTCTTTAAATTCCCCACCCGACCCCAAAAGCATGCTGGGTAATTCGGGTCAGCAGGCATCCGTGTTTGGACGGACGGTTTCAGATCACGGGGAAGAGGAGTGGCGGTTCGGTTCCCAAGGCTGAGGGACCCGCGAGACGAGGAAATAACAGCTCCGGCCACAAGCCCTCCCTGGCAAACACCTGCAGGCGGAGGGTGGGGGCACCCCCCCCGGAGGGACCCAGGTGGCCGCCTCGCAGCTCGCAGATGCCACATCTCCCCTCAGCTTGGGGCCCGGGCAGAGGAAACAATGTCATGAGCAGGAAGAAATGCAAATGTGTTCCCCAGGAAGAAATGCAAATGTGCCACCCCACAGCCTGCAGCAGCCCAGGCTGCGGCTGAACTCTGGGGGCACCGAGGTCAGGGTGCTGCGACCCAGTCTGGGAGCCACAGTCCCGGGAAGGTGTTTTTGTTCTCAGTGGAGACCGCGGGGGCTTTACTGGGGGTGGAGGGGGGGTGAACAGCGGGGATGTCCCTTGTCACCCAGCCAGCCCCAGCACCCCTGGGCCCCGCACTCACAGGGAAGTGGCTGGCCAGAAACTTCCAGTCTTGCTGCCCGAACTGCCTCACCAGGGTCCTCAGTTGCTCGTCCTGTGGGAAGACAAAGGCCTCAGCCCAGAGCTGCCCCTGAGCACCAGTTTCCCCCGCCACGCGCCGGCCACGCCAGCTGCCACTGACCAACCCCGTGGCTCCGTCTAGAGGGAGGAGCCGGCGGGAGACACCCACAAACCAGGTGGCCACTGGTGCTCGGTGGAGGGGGGGTGGAGAGACCCAGGAGGCAAAGGGGCAAGCTCAGGCTCAAGAGCCCCGAGGGCCCGAGTGATAGCACTGCGGGGAGGGCGTTTGCCTTGCATGCGGCCGACCCAGGTTCAATTCCTAGCATCCCATATGGTGCCCTGAGCACTGCCAGGAGTAATTCCTGAGTGCAGAGCCAGGAGTAACCCCCGAGCATCACCGGGTGTAAGAAAGAAAGAAAGAGAGAGAGAGAGGGAGGGAGGAATGGAAGGAAGGAAGGAAGGAAGGAAGGAAGGAAGGAAGGCAGGCAGGCAGGCCCTGTAAGGGGTTAGAGCCATGGTACTGTGGGTAGGGCATTTGCCTTGCACGAATGCAGCCAACCCGGGTTCGATTCCCAGCATCCCATATGGTCTCCCAAGCACCGCCAGGAGTAATTCCTGAGTGCAGAGCCAGGAGCAACCCCTGAGCATTATCAGGTGTGACCTCCCCGTCTCCAAAACAAAAGAGCCCCCAGAATGCAGGGCGTCGTGGGGGACAGGTGTGAGGTGAGTTGGAAGGCACAGGCAGGGCGAGACCAGGCAGCTGAGGCCGATGCAGCGTGCCAGCTCACTGAGGACTGGTGACATGGGCGTCCAGGCTTACCAGGACGGCCGCGGGCAATGGGCAAGAGGAAGGGAGCGAGGGCGAGGCGGTAGTGCTGGGCCCAAGAGTCGGCAGTGGAGGAGCTGGGGCTGAGAGGGCAAGCAGGTGGAGCTTTAGCCTGGCATGAAGCCACCCAGGGTTTGATCCCTGGCACCCCTTAGGGCCCCCTGAGCACAGCCAGGTGTGGCCCAAAATCAGAGTCAAATATCAAAATAAAACGTGGGGTTGGAGCCATAGTGCAGTACAGTAGTTGCCTCGCACGTGGCTGACCCGGGTTCAATCCCTGGCACCCCATACGGTCCCCCACATCCTACCAGGAGTAACTCCTGAGCATGGAGCAAGGAGCAAGCCCTGACCCCCACCAGGGGTGGCCGGAACACAATGGAACATGCAAGACCCCCGACGCCTCGTGCATCACAGGTCTCGGGGGCCGTCACTCTGCAGTCCCCGTCACTCCTCAAACTGCCCACTGGTCCCGTCCTCTCGCTCAGACACGGGCCCAGGCATCCTTTCCTAGCACCACCCTGCCAGGGGCCCGCCCTTCCAGCCAGAAAAAAACACTTCTCTGCTTGCTTTTTCTCGGCCTACCGTTCGCTTCCTGTTCTCCTGTTTGGGGGGAAGGGACTCCCCCACTGTGCTCGGAGCCTGGCTGCTCCCTGCAATACCTGGCCAGGTCGTAGCACCCAAGTGGCTCATGTCCTGGGCTGCTGAGGTCACTGGGGCCATGCCTGGGTGGTGGCCAAGGGCACGTCCACAGGGCTGGACACCTGTGCCCCGGAGTGCCAGGGGTGGAATGAGACCCCGAGCAGGATGGGCATCAGATCAACGAATGCCTCACTCCTGTTCTGACTTCCTTTCCGCAGTCTTGCCAACGACACCTTCCACTGCCCGAAGCTTCCAGACTCAGAACCTTCCCCCGAAGGGCACTTCAGTGACCCATCCCTCCTACGCGCCAGGAGCCTTAGCCCAAACGAACAGACAAGGGAGCAGAGCACGCGCAGGGCCGTGATGGGCTGGCAGGACCTGGCGCCCTTATCTCGCCCGCCCAGGCAGAGCTGCTCCAGGCAGGGACAAGCTCCTGCTGGTTCTTCTGGGTCCACAGGAGCCCAGTCTTATCCCTGCTCCACCAGGATAAACAGAACTGTGAGCACCACTGGGAAGAAGCCCCTAACGAGCACAGTTTAGACTCACTGAGAAAGGAAGAAGGGCCCGAGCGATAGCACAGCAGGGAGGGCGTTTGCTTTGCACGAGGCCAACCTGGGTTCAATCCCTGGGATCCCTTATGATTCCCCGAGCACCGACAGGAGTAATTCCTGAGCGCAAAGCCAGGAGTAACCCTGAGCATCATCGGGTGTGTCCCCCCCCCAAAAAAAAGAGAGAGAAAAGGGGGGGAAAACCCTACAAACATATGGGAAAACAGGAGGAAAACGCTGAGAAATAATCCCATGAAACCAAACATGGGCCTCCTGCACTGCTGTGAGGTCACCGGGTTTGACCCCTACCGCTAAGTGTAAATCCCACACAATCACGCATAGGAAAACCACCACCAAGGGTCCAACCCTGGTGAGCCCCCCGGCTAGAAGTGAGGACCCCCCAGAGGGCATTTGAATGCTTGAATGACAGTGTTAGGAGTCACGCATGCAGGTGTGCACCCCCAGGCATCAAACAAAGAAGCGGGGAGACAAACCTGGACAGACACCTGCCCTGTGTAAGTGTCCAATTTCCCTCCCAAGGACATGAACTCTACTCCCCCACAAAAAAAGTCTTATACAGGGGCCAGAGAGATGGTGCAGCAGGTAGGGCGCTTGCCTGCACACAGTCGACCCAGGTTCAATCCCTGGTACCACATATGGTCTGTCGTCCCCCCCCCTCAAGACCTCCCAGGAACAAACCCTGAGCTCAGAGTCAGGAGGAAGTCCTGAGCAATGCCACATAGGGCCAAAAGAAAAAAAAAAAAGAGGAAAAAAAGCTCAATTAAGCACAAGAAGTTCAGTTACGGGCAGGAGATGGTAAGTGGGAGCCCCGGGTTCAATTCCAAGCACAAGTGGCTCCCCAGATGGGCCGGAACAATATACAGCAGGTAGGGGCGTTTGCCTTGCATGAGGCCAACCTGGATTCGGTCCCCAGCATCCCATAGGGTCCCCCAAGCACCACCAGGAGTAATTCCTGAGTGCAGAGCCTGGAGGAACCCCTGAGCATCGCTGGGTGTGACCCAAAAAGCAAAACAAAACACAAGTGCCCCCGCTACCCCCCCCACCCCCCGCCCCCAACAAAACTGAAAGCTCAACATTCTCAAGTGGAACACACCCACTTCCTTCCGGGGACCACAACCACCAATCGCTGGCCCCCAGGCCTGAGAGACACACTCCTGAAGTCTCCTAGTCCCCAAGAAGACTTTATTCTTGCAGTGCCCCTCACCTCTTCGTGGGTCCATTTGACCTTGCACTTGCTGTCTCTCTGCTCGGGAACGTCGGAGTCCGTGTCCTGGGAGTGCAGCTCGTCCAACTCCTCACTGCAGAGAAGGAGGAGGAGGTAAGTGAGGGCAGAGTCGCCCAAAAGGGCCACCCCCAGGGAAAGGCTTGGGGAAGGCAGGCAGCACTGTGTGTGTTTTGCCTCTTTTATTTCAACTGGGCTACGGCCATTTTGGTTTGTTTGGGGGCCACACCTGGCAGTGCTCAAGGGACCATATGGGATGCCGGAGATCGAACCTGGGTTGGCTGCATGCAAGGTAAGTTCGCTCTCTCTGGCCCCAAGGGAGAGCTATTTGTTTGTTTGTTTGTTTTGCTTTCTGTGTCACACTCAGCGATGCACAGGGGTTACTCCTGACTTTGCACTCAGGAATGAATTACTTCTGGCAGTGCTCAGGGAACCATATGGGATGCTGGGAATTGAACCCGGGTCAGCCGCGTGCAAGGCAAATGCCCTAACCGCTGTACCATCGTTCCAGCCCCGAGGGAGAGCAATTTGAATTTTCTTGATTTTTATTTGTTTTCAGCACGATCTGTGGTTTCAAAAGATACAAGAAGGGGGGCTCAAAGCGATCGTACAGAGGGTAGTGTGCTTGCCTTGCTGACCAGGGTTTCATCCCAGTATCTCATATGGTTCCCTGAGCCTAGCCAAAAGTTAGGTGCAGTGTACCAGTGGATGTGACGCAAAACACAAACAGGAGGGCTGGAGAAATAGGATAGGAGTTAAGGATTTTTCATTACATATGTCTGACCCCAATCAATCCCTGGTACCACATAGGATCCCCAGAGCACAGCCAGGGGTGAACCCTGAACACAGAGCCAGAGCAGTCAGGTCTGGCCCCCAAACAAAAATAGAGTAAGAGCTTTGAAAAAAGATGCCTTGGACAACTAAACACGTTTTCCACAAGGGAAGCCTGGCTCCAGCCCCAGCATATGTTCATCTGTGTAAAATCCTGGGTCCAATTCCTGGCATTGCAAAGAAAGAAAAAAAGAAATCATAAAAAAATATATTCAGGGGCTGGAGCAATAGCACAGCGGTTAGGGTGTTTGCCTTGCACACAGCTGACCCAGGTTCGATTCCCAGCATTCCATATGGTCCCCCAAGCACCGCCAGGAGTAATTCCTGAGTGCAGAGCCAGAAATGACCCCTGAGCATCGCCGGCTATGACCCATAAGGGCAAAAAAAAAAAAAAAACCTAAACCTAAAGACACATATGCCCATCAAGCACACAGATTCTAAAAAATATTAGTTATCTGGGGAAAACTCTTATCTCAGTAATTATGTCCATTTTTTTTATATTCCCTCTCTGAATCTGAATCCTTTCTCCCCCCACCCCGGGGGTCTAATTTAGAGAGAGAAAAATCCAAGCCCAAGCAGCTTTGAAATCTGAATAATTTCCTAAAAGGCAGATTCCCAAGTCACTTCAAAATCCTCTTATGCATCTGGCTTAATGGTTACCAGAGCCGGATCCCCCAGCCCGCCCCCAAGGCCGCCAAGGCCGCCAGGTGCTGGGGTGAGGTCAGGAAGCTCCTGTGACAGGTGATGCCATCAGGTGATGTCCACAGGTGCATTCCCAAGTAAGGCTTGTTGTGGCTGTAGTGATAGCACAGTGGGTAGGGCCGCTGCTTGCATGCAGCTGACTCAGGTTCGATTCCCAGCATCCCAGATGGTCCCCCAAACACTGCCAGGAGTAATTCCTGAGTGCATGAACCAGGAGTAACCCCTGAGCATCGCCGGGTACGATCCAAAAAGGAAAAAGTCAGTCTGGTTGTCACGGAAATGAAGACCCACACTGGGGGCCACCCTCTCTCCTTCCCCTCTCCAGAACTTTGCAACTCAAGGCATCTAGGAAATGTTCCAGAAGGGAGGTGCCTGGGCTGGAGAGATAGCTCAAAGGGCTGAACCAAGGCAAAGCCCATCTGGACCGCAGGCCTGGAACAGTCCCTTGAGCGTGGCCAGGTAGGGCCGAAACCCTCCGCTCCCACTACAAAAAAGAATGCAGGTGCTTCACCCGCTAAACAATGCAGAAAGGTCAGTCCCAACTCCACATTGGAGGGTCAGGTCACAGAAGGACCTTAAAATGTTTGCTCAGGGCCAGAGCTATATTAACGGCAGGTAGGACCTTGCACACGGCTGACCCAGGTTCGATCCTTGGCATCCTGTATGGTCCAGAGTTCCGCCAGGAGTGATCCCTGAGCCAGGAATAAGCCCTGAGCACAGCTAGCTTTGGCCCAAAACACAAAAAAAATTTTTTAAAAAGTTTGCTCGGGGGCAGGGAAGCTGGTATATGATGCCCAGCACAAGATCGCCAACAACTGCAAGGACAACCCTAGGCGCACCATCAGATAAGGACCTAGGGGGGCCAGAGGGGTTATACAGTGAGTAGGCTGCTGGCCCTGCATGAGGGCAACCCAGATTCCATCCCTGGCATTCCATATGGTCCCCTGAGCCCTCCGGGAGTGATTCTTGAGAGCAGAGTCAGGATTAAGTCCTGAACACCACTGGGTGTGACCCAAAAGAACAAACACAAAACAAAAAAACTAAAAAGACCAAGGGGAGGGAGGAGCTGGAGTGCTAGATACTACAGAGGATAGGGCATTTGCCTTGTGCCAACCCAGGTTCGATTCCCAGCATCCCATATGATCCCCAGAGCACTGCCAGGAGTAATTCCTGAATGCAAAGCCAGGAGTAACCCCTGTGCATCGCTGGTGTGACCCAAAAATGTTTAAAAAAAAAAAAAAAAGGACCAATCGGCCCAGACACCTTTCCCATAGAAACCATCCTTGTGGCCAGCACTCAGCTTCCAGGGGCAGAGGGTCCACAAACTCTACTTTGGGGGTATGCCGCAGGGTGGGCTCTGATTACTGAATGCCGGGTCGGGAGCCCTGGCAAATGCCCTGCCCCTGGACTTCTCATGCTCCCTATTTAACAGTGGTGGAGGGGGGCTGGAGCGATAGCAGAGCGGGTAGGGCGTTAGCCTTGCACGTGGCTGACCGACGTTCGATTCCCAGCATCCCATATGGTCCCCTGAGCACTGCCAGGAGTAATTCCTGAGTGCATAGCCAGGAGGAACCCCTGTGCATCGCTGGGTGTGACCCAAAAAGCAAAAAAAACAAAAACAAAAACAAAAAACAGTGGTGGAAATTGAGGCTCACAGGGCCTCTCTGCCCTTGGCCAGACCAGAGAGCCGATTGCAAACCAGCACCTCCACACCCTGCCCGACCGGGCCCCGGAAGGGGAAGGTGGGAACGGAGGGGGAGGTGGCCCTCACCCGGGCCTGACCCTGCCAGTCTCGGCCGGGCCCTGCTCCAGGGTGAGTCAGGTGAGCGGGAAGCGGCGGGCACCGGGGAATTACAGCCCCGTGGCCGGGCCAAGGCAGAGCCGAGCGCGCACGCCGGGTGCCACCCCCCATCCTCGGGAGAGAGGGAAGTTCCTCCACGGCGCCCCGCGGGGGACCTTCCCTGGGCTCAACTTGAAGCCAAGACCGGGTCTGACAGTGCCTGGACACGAGACCGGCTGGGGGGGCTGCAGACACCCAGGCGGGCGCAGGGTCCCGCCGAACGCCCGACGCGCCGCGCACGGTGCAGCGGGAGGGCCCGGGAGCCCAGGGCCGGGGTCCCGGCTGGGCGCAGGCTCTCCGCGGGGGTCACGGGTCTGCCGCCCTCCCCGGGGAGTTGGGGGACCCCCGCCGCGCTGCTTCGCGTGGCTCCCCGCCTCTGCCCCGCACGCACTCTTCCCGCGTTGCAGGAAACGCACCCGGACCGGAACACGGTCCGAGGGGGGACAAAGAGCTCCCCTCCCCCAACACCTACTCCGGCCGCGGGTGCGAGCGCCGGGCGCAGGTAGGAACGACCCCCCCAGAAGCCTGCAGCTCGGTGTCCCGCGGGCTCGGGCGGCCCGCCGCCCCCGGGGAGGCGCTTCCCGCCCGGCCGGGCCCTCCCGCTGCCCCCGCCGGTCCACCCCCACCCCGCAATTCGGCGGGAGACCAGATGCCGCCGGGCAGGCCCGGGTGCGGGTCCCGGGGGGAGCCGCCCGCTCCGGCCCCGAGGCCCGGCAAGCCGGGGGTGGGGACGCTGGGGAGGGGCGCGGCGCGAGGGTGCCCGGAACCCCCCGGCCCGGGCGCGCGCGGCCCGGGACGCAGCATTCCCGCTGGAACGGCGGGGCCCGGGCGGGGCTGCGGCCGAGGCCGGGCCGTGGGGGTGAGGGTCCCGCGACCGAGAGGAGTGAGGGTCCGGCGACCGAGAGGGGCCCGGGGCCGCCGCTTCTGCTCACCCGCGCGTCCGCCGAGACATCCCCCCGGCCCGGGCCGCGCCGCGCTCGCCCGCCTGCCGGCTGAGCCCGGAGCGGGAGCCGGGCCGGGGCCGGCGCGTGGGCTGCTTCGGCCGCTCCGGGCCCCGGAGCCGCTCCGGGGGGCGTCAGCGTGGCCAGAGGTGCAGCTGCTGTCCTTGGGCACCGGGGCCGCCGCCGGCGCGCACAGAAGCACTTTCCTATCTCCCGCCAAGCGCGTCGGCGCCGCCCGGACCTGGCGCGCAGACGGGAAGGCGGGCCCGGGGCGGGGCCTGCGGCGGGAGGGGCGGGGCCTGCGAGGGCTAGGGGCGGGGCAGAGCCTGCAGAGGGGCGGAGCCTGCGCCGGGGCGGGATAGAGAGGAGCCTCGGCGGCGCGGGGCGGAGTCTGCGACGGCGTGTGGCGGGGCCTACGGAGGGAAGGGGCGGGGCCTGAGAGGGCGTGGGGCGGGGCCCGAGGTGGGCGGGGCAGAGCTGCAGACGGGCGGAGCCTCGCCGGGGCGGGATTGAACGGAACCTCGGCGGCGAGGGGCGGAGTCTGCGACGGCGTGGGGCGGGGCGGGGCCTTGGCGGGGCGGAGCCAGCGACCCGGCGGAGCAAGCGACCCAGCAGAGCCTGCCGCGGGACTGGCCCCAGCTTGGAGCCGGCCTCCCAGAGCGGAGGGCGCGGGTGGGGCGGTGCGCTGGGAGGTGCCACCCTGCCACCCTCGTCCTGGGACGGAGGCCTGCCGAGCTCAGGCCAGGGCGGCCCAAGAGTTGCCCATATAGCAAAGGGAGTGGAGAGCTGGAACCAGACGGTTAAGGGAGCGCCCGTGCAAACACCTAAGCGTGAATTCAAGCCTCCATCCCGCAGCGCCCCCCACCCTAAAGCCGACCCTCCCCAATACCTGGACCAGAGCCGCACCTCCCTGCTGGATTCCTGCTTCCTCTCCAGCCTCAGGTTCAACGACCTCGTTTGTAGTGACTGCTGAGACTGGAGTGATGTCCTAGAATGCAAATTTGACCTGGTCTCTCCAGAATTTAAAACCTCCTCCTCATCCTCAGGGTACAATTCATTCTAATCTGGTTTGCAGCATTCAACCAGATCACCACCCAGCACTCCCCTAAGTTCCTGGAACTTTTCCTGCTCCTCCTACCTAATTCCTATTTATCCTTGGGACTCTAAGGATTTGTGAGTCTCCCTGTGGGCATGCAAAGGTCCTAAAGACCCTCAATTCCACCCCAGTATCGACAGGGCCCAGAATTTAACTGTTGTTTTGAATTCAGTTTACCAGTCCCCTCAACAAACTCCTGGAGGTTAAATACAGATATCCTATTTTATTTATTTTATTTGATGCCCACACTTGGCAGGACTACTCCTAGTCTGGTGCTCAGAGTCACTTATGGCAATGCTCAGGGGACCATATGGAGTGCCAGGCACTGATCCCACGCCCTCAGCTTGTTTAACAACTTCTCCCGTCTGGATTGAATTTTCCATTTTATTTGCCATTTACCTGCTAAGGAAGGGATCCAGGGTTTTGTTTGGTTGGTTGGTTGGTTTGGGTTACTGTGAGGGGGCACACCTGGCAATGTCCTGCCACGCCGTCAACGGTGTCGCCCGCGTAGCAACCTGCTAAGGTGGCCCGGGCCTGGCCCAGGTCCCGCGGGAAAGGGAGGTTCGCGACCTTCGGGTCTATGCCTCCGGCGCCCCCTTTTTCTTATCCTGCTTTGTGTGCTTCTGTGGCACTTTGGTATGTGGCTCTTCTGCATCCCGGATGGAGTTTATAATGGTTGCCTGCCAATTTTACTTATAAGTTAGGTATTTAGAATTAATAAGTAGAAGCTTTGTAGTTATAGTTTGCTTTTAATCATTGTGAAATCTGTAGGAAACTAAGGAGATGTTAGGTTTGACAAAGGTCAGGAGTCATAAGTGAAACCAAACAATAACAGGAGCCAGAAAAACCGCCAAATATTGTGGCTGAAACAATTAGATCCTTAGCATACAGTACAGCCCTTAATTTCAAGCAAGGGTGCCTAACATAAAAGAAAACAATAAGTTACCGTCTGAGAGAATGAGGGACATTGTGAAACCTCTATCCCCCCATACAAAAACTGGTCTAAGTACATACATCCTGGAGTTTATTAACAGAAAAACAAAGTGTTGCAAACCAATATATGGGAAGGTCCGAGACCCTTCCTGGATTGTGATGTGTGGTTAAGACCCTGTCAGATGAAAACATAAGTTGCTGAAGAAAAACAATGATAAAGAACTCTGTAGAAAGGGGAACCATGGTTAGACATTAAATCCTGTGTAATCACTGTAAAGAATTCATAGGTAAATGTTTTGTCCTAATTTGAAGCAGGAAGTGTATTAAGAAAGTGTTTTTGTCCCTCGATATTTTTTGGAATATGTCACCAATAAGTGACCACGATATGATGTAATGTTCGATTGTATTCTGGCCCTTTGTTCTATGATTTTGCCTTGACTGTATAAAAAAGGAACTCTGTGCTCAGTAAAATCGCAGCAGCACTCAACCTCTCTTGTGTTGGTGTCTGTCTGTCATCGCCGAATCTCCTGCTTTCCTGTAAACCTTCTCCCACGTCCCTCAGCCTGGTGGTTCCCGACCGAGCCAGTCTGCGGCAATGTCCAAGGGTTACCTGTGGCCCTGCACTCAAGAATTGCTCCTGGCAGGCTTGGGGGACCATAGGGGATGCCATGGATCGAACCCAGGTCAACCGCATGCAAGGCAAACGCCCTACCCACAGTACAATCTCTCCAGCCTCAGGATCCAGGATTTAATCCCCAGCGAAGTAAGGTTCCGTGATCTCTGTGTGATCTCTGAGCACCCTAGTATGGCACCCCCCCCCACACACACACCAGCATCAATCACATAAACTAATATAAACCAGAAAGATAGCACAGAAGTTAAGTCACTTACCTTGCACATGCCCGACCCAAGTTAAATCCATGGCACTTCAAACGGTCCCCTGAGCACCACTGGCTGTGGCCTACAAACAAAACCAATAAATAAGCTGCTTCGTACTAAGCATCTACCCCAAGGGGTATCCAACCCCCCCCCAGGGGAAATGCCTGGAGGAAAGGAAGTGATGGGAGCAACCGGAGAGGGGGGAACTCAGTCTCTTGAGACATACTTGCATCTTACATCTCACTTCCAGAAACCAGGCCAGCCCGCCTGCTGATATAGACTTTACCGCAGCAGAGAATACTGATACCTTCTTTGGTTGTTTGGTTTGGGGGCCTCACTGGAAGTGTTGTAGTTTTGGGGGCGGAGGAGGAGGAAGGTCGCTCCCTGTACGGTTCTAGGGGACTGTGTGGCATAGGGAATTGAAGCTGGGGCTTCTGTAACTAAGACATTCCCTCCAGCTCCTGAACCCTTCAGGGCTGACACTTTAAGCACTGATATCTTTGAATGCTAGAAGCTTCCACATCAGTTAATTCGGGGCTCCTCCCACCCACTTTCCTAAGAAAGTCTTTCATGTGGGCATACCCTTCTCATTGCTAGAACCTCATGTTTCAGAACACAAACTACGGAGTCATACCCCCGGGTGAGTTCCCAGCTCCATCATTCACAACTTAGGCAAATTACTGACCTCCTCTACGCCCTAGTTCTTTATTTGTACAAATTCGAAGTACCCACCATTTAGCGTGCTTTTTGTTTTGTTTTGTTTGGGGGCCACACCCGGTGATGGTGATGCTCAGGGATTACGCTTGGGTGGAAACCTGGGTCTGTCACGTGCAAGAAAAGTTCCTGTCCTATGGGACCTTGGCCCCCAAACTTAGAAAGCTTGTTCACTACATACCAGCCTCTTCCGCAGGCTGCAAAAACCTGAACTTTTTTTTCCCCTCATTTACTGAACCACACTGCCACGCCGTCAACGGTGTCGCCCGCGTAGCAACCTGCTAAGGTGGCCCGGGCCTGGCCCAGGTCCCGCGGGAAAGGGAGGTTCGCGACCTTCGGGTCTATGCCTCCGGCGCCCCCTTTTTCTTATCCTGCTTTGTGTGCTTCTGTGGCACTTTGGTATGTGGCTCTTCTGCATCCCGGATGGAGTTTATAATGGTTGCCTGCCAATTTTACTTATAAGTTAGGTATTTAGAATTAATAAGTAGAAGCTTTGTAGTTATAGTTTGCTTTTAATCATTGTGAAATCTGTAGGAAACTAAGGAGATGTTAGGTTTGACAAAGGTCAGGAGTCATAAGTGAAACCAAACAATAACAGGAGCCAGAAAAACCGCCAAATATTGTGGCTGAAACAATTAGATCCTTAGCATACAGTACAGCCCTTAATTTCAAGCAAGGGTGCCTAACATAAAAGAAAACAATAAGTTACCGTCTGAGAGAATGAGGGACATTGTGAAACCTCTATCCCCCCATACAAAAACTGGTCTAAGTACATACATCCTGGAGTTTATTAACAGAAAAACAAAGTGTTGCAAACCAATATATGGGAAGGTCCGAGACCCTTCCTGGATTGTGATGTGTGGTTAAGACCCTGTCAGATGAAAACATAAGTTGCTGAAGAAAAACAATGATAAAGAACTCTGTAGAAAGGGGAACCATGGTTAGACATTAAATCCTGTGTAATCACTGTAAAGAATTCATAGGTAAATGTTTTGTCCTAATTTGAAGCAGGAAGTGTATTAAGAAAGTGTTTTTGTCCCTCGATATTTTTTGGAATATGTCACCAATAAGTGACCACGATATGATGTAATGTTCGATTGTATTCTGGCCCTTTGTTCTATGATTTTGCCTTGACTGTATAAAAAAGGAACTCTGTGCTCAGTAAAATCGCAGCAGCACTCAACCTCACTTGTGTTGGTGTCTGTCTGTCATCGCCGAATCTCCTGCTTTCCTGTAAACCTTCTCCCACGTCCCTCAGCCTGGTGGTTCCCGACCGAGCCAGTCTGCGGCAGGTGGCGCCCAACGCGTGGCGAGAAGGACAGGTAATCTTCTCTTTCTTTTCTTTTCTTTCCAAAGCAGGGATCGGCTCCTGTCAGGATTCCGCGGATCCGCCGGTAAAGGCTCACCGGTTAAGTGCAGGTAATCATGGGTTTGCAAATGTCAA